ATGGCCATCGTCAAATGGTGGATCTGAGTCTCAGCTGGATGTAGCATGACTGGCTCCTTTATCTCCCTTCTCAATGTGATGCTGTTCTCTCTGCTGCTGCTGAGACATGCCATGCACTGGGGCTGCAGCAAGGGCAGGTGAGAGAGTTTGTATGCAGGACTGCTCCCGACGCTAATAAAGATGCAACGCCTCGTGTTAGGCAGAGATTTACTTGTATTGATGCAGATTTACTGTTCTAAGGAAAAAAAGAAGCCTTATTGTATGATCAAAGCTAATAAAAATAGAAAACAAATGACACCGTAGACTGAACAGAACCAATATACTATTTAATGAACACTTATTGACCAGTAACCTGCAACTAATGTAGCTATGGATTTTTACTTTGTCTATTCATGGCTTTAAGAAACAATCAGTTGGGTCTCCCCGGATGGGAGGATGAGGAGATAGTTAACAAAGCTGTGTTTTATTTAGTGCTAAACAAAGCAGTCAATTTAAACTTGAGGTGGCTGGGAAAACCATCTCTGGTTTATGTAAGCTGGGATCACTTGAGCGAGGACGTTTTACACGGTTCTGTCACAGGATACGGTTTATTGTATAAGGTGGCATCCTATCCATTTACGAAAAATGAAGGGAGAATTAGTCAATGTCTAACATCCCTGGATGGAAATTTAAGATGAATATCCCTCCTGCAGAATGATTTTTAGAGTGAAGTCTACCTAATGCCGGGGTGAGTCTCCTACACTTACACTTTGCAGCATTTATTTGAACTCGTACACACAGATACAAAGGAATGTGTGGGTTGCCCTATTGTACATGCAACTTCAAAAGCACATCTGAATTAGAAAGCTGGGCTTCTGAAGCCATTGGAATAGTGATAATCATAGTCTAAGTGGTGCCTGAGGGACGTCTGTCTCAACCCTTACAGCATCTTTGAAGGAAAGTTATCCTCCCTCCACTGGCATGTGTCTTATAAGAGCAGACTCAAACTCAGTGGGCAGCCCCTTTCAGGGCAAGCCGGGGCCGCTTTTACAGGTGTCTTCCTCCATCTGGGATCCGCCCGTAGGTAGATTCCTGGGATGTGAGGCACAGAGCCCTGATGCGACTCCTCGCTCTTCTCCCTTTGAGGACGGCAATGTAAGCCTCTTGGATCTTCTCTTTGCCAAGTCCCCGTCGCCCTGTTTCCTCCACTGACTCTTCAGCCTGGCCCTACTGGTTCATATCTCCATTCTTAACTTAAGCTCAGAGAAGTGAAAGCTTCGGCCCAGGACCCACAGCGAGAGAGTGGCAGGTCTGGGGCTGAAACTCAGGCGTCTGACCCAGCACCTGTGTTCTTCCAGCCAGGCTTCTGTGTGCTTCTAATCAGCCATGTTCTTAAAATGCCCAGAGCTCCCAGTAGTGAGCAGGCAGGGAAGTTGCCCAGCACCGAAAATATAGACCATAGTCCTTCCTCAGTGGCAGCCCATGTCGTTCCCAGCATGCAGTCTCTGTCACTGTTCACAGTGTTGGCTCACCACCTTGGGACACTTCTGTATGTCACTAGTTGGGAGGGAGAGGAGTCGAGAAGAACTGGCTTCTTTATTGTTTTAGTGCCTGCACTCTTCTGGGTAGCTTCACCGTTAACAGAGTGTGGCGAGCTCATGTTACAGAAGGAGAAACCCAGGCTGAGGGAACTATCCAGCTGTGATAGGAATAACTAGGAGCATTTTGATTCCTCTTGTTGAAGATGCTTACGTGGGAACAGAGAACACAAACAATTTTAAGTGACTTTACAAACACAGACACGACCATGTCCATGTTTCCAGCCCTCTGACTCTCGACTCTCTCTGCTCCATGGAAATAAATCAGAGCCTGCATGGACAGCCGGGGTCCCCTCCCTTATCACGGAGAGCTGGAGCAGCTTGCATGTTGCAGAGAATCCCTTTACCTTCAAAAGGTTGGGGAGGAGAGCTGCAATGTGGAACCACCTGGCAGTCCCCTGCCACTTTTGTTCCTAGGCAGGCACATGTCTGACCTACACAGCTTTGCCAGTCCCACTGTTAGCACAGAGCGATTACCCGCAGTCGGGAACTGCTCGTCCTTCTGCAGGCATGGTGTGTCACTGTCAGTCAAGGTTTGCTGAAAGTCGCACGTTGGTGGCTTCGCAGGGTTTTTGTCCAAATGTTCACTGCAAGACATGCAGCCAGGCGGTTGGAAGTCCCAGAAAAGGGGTCTTCTGGAGAAGTAAGGTCGTTACAAACCTGGCTCCAGAGAAGTTAAACAAGGACAAGTCACCCGTGGATCTGGAGAAGAGACGACAGTGACGCCCGGGGATAGGGATCAACAAACTGCCAGGGATGGAGAGAGTGGGCTGTGGAAGGAGGAAACCTCTAACATCTGGGAACTAAAAATAGCACCTGGAGAGAAAGCAGAGCCCGTGGCTTGGATGCTAACTCCCACCATGTGCTGGGGTCCCTAAGCCCCCAACAGGGAGCTATGTTATTATTTTCAGGAAAAAAATACCCAACAAAACCTTAAGTGCATGAAGGGCTAACTGGTGGACTTCTGAGGGCCCAATTACCCTCTTTGGCTTTTGCATATTTTCAAGGCTCTAACCCAGAAAATAATGCTGTGCGTGTCTAAATGGTGGAGGACAAAGCTGCCTGGGTGACTGCTGACTCAGCTTTTTCAAGTCCACGGCCCTTGGATCGATTAGTTCCTTAATCTCTCTCAGTGGTGGCTGGAGCTCGCCGTACCCATCACTGCCCAACTTCATACTCGGTAACAGGTGATGTCACACCAGTAGCTTGAAATTGGCCAGGGTGGGAAAATTTACACCATAGAAATAGGCAAAGGCTATAAATCACAGCTTCTGCTTCTGGGACAGCAGGCCGTTAAAAACGCACCAGCACACGGTTGTCTCCTGGCATGATTTTGCTTCTCTGTGCAGGGGAATCGTGACAGCACTGACTATGCTGGGGGCCTGGGGGCTAAGGCAGATCACACAGGTAAAGGGCCCTGCATGCTTCCTGAGGCCAGGCCACCTTCTAAGAGTGCATCTCCTTCTCGCTGGCACACGGGGGACTGGAGCAGATACGGGCACGGGGGAAAGGAGGAGAAGGCGAACTTTCTAAGCCTTGTGGTGAGCTCTAGTTTCCCAAAGTTTTCCATCCTAGTTCAGCAAGCACATCAACACTCCTGTGCAGTGTCTGTGATGACGGCTGGGCATGGGCGCCTCTGTTAGGATCCCGTTTTCCGATTGCCATCAGAGCGAGAGCTGTTTCTTCTTTGCCACCGAGTCTGCAAATCTGTAGTTCCCCCACAAAGAGTATTTTATAGTAAGACTTTAGAAGTTCTTAGTATACTTCTGTGGTACTGTGATATTTATTTTATAAGTTCTGATCCACTGCAGTGTCTTAAGTAAATAAAATAGTTCAGGCAAGAGACTCAGTTTCCCTTCTGAGCATGTACAGTGGCTAATGGAGCAAATTAACAGTCCCGGCAACCAAGGAGGAGGGACGTCCCCTTACCGCACTTCTTGTTCCCTGAGACCACTGGAAATTACCCCTTCCATTTCTGTAAGGACCACTTGAGTCCACTTCATTGCCCCACATGGGAACTCCACTCTCCCTCCATTCTTCTGCCAGAAGAGTCGGTGCTGGGGCCACACCGCACCCTCCAATGAGACCATGTGATCTGTGCTCTTCACAATTTGCAACTATTTCTATTAGCTCGTACCTAATAAGAATTAGAGGTCAAATACACGAAATCCAAGATAATTCAAAGGCTCCCATTCTGGCTATTCGTTCCACCATTTTCAGGCCCTACAGGTGGAGCCGACTCTACTCAAGAGGAGCTTGCAGAGGCTAAAAGAAATGGCCAGGCAGGAGCGGCCGTGACCATGTCCAGAGACATGCCCGCCCTCTCTGCAAGCTTCTTGTTCTTGTGATGCTGAAGCTGAACCTGCACCAATGTCCATAGCAATGAGCCTGGTGGGCACGCCACTGAGCAAGCGGGGCTCTGCTTACAACTTCGTCATGGAGCTTTGGGGTTTGCGTGCTTAAGGCCTGATGCCAAGCAGGATTCACAGCAGGGAAGTGTGGCTAGAATCTGATTTGTATTCTGACAGTCACATGGGGGGTTCCACCTGGGGGGCATGGAAGTGCCCTGGCTTTGCTGATCTGGAGCAGTAATTTGGTGAAAGCATACGCTTACCAGCCAAATCCACACAGGGTCCTAACTGAGGAATTTCCTGGTTTTTTGTCAGCGGCTCTCCAGCTGACTGGCTCTCCATCGCTCCCGAATACGCACCTGTTGGTGCCAGGGCTGCGCTTGGACCTCCCTGCTGCCCATAGATTGAATTTCACCTTCACCAAGAACCAGCTGTGATTTCTCCAGCTCCTATCACACCAGTTATCCCTGCTATTAAATTACACAGTTCAATTAAATATTGAGGAACAGTCAACAGCAATATAGATATAATACAAAATATTTATATAAGTAAACATGAGAGGAGTTTTTTTATATGAAACTTGTTGTGTGCTTTGCAAAGACTTTGTAAATACAGAATTAAACGTTCTGATATAGAACTCTACAAAATCCAAAAAAATGCTACCTTGTCACGACACTTGCATTGCTCTGCAAATATCGTCGTGAATCACCAGGCTACAAAAACAAACTAGAAATCATAGAGGCCGATTCCCACCTATGAGAAAATTCTTATCTAAAGACAAGTCTTTGACTCTACATCAAGAAGAGTGATTGAATAAATATTTATGTTTTTAAATGTTTAAGGCAAGTTTGCATCCTTTATAATTGAGTTGGTTTTATTAATGAACCAGGTGCTCATCCCCGCTGGGTGGAATAAGAGGCTGGCATATTCAGGCTTCCTCCGGTGAACTTTCTTGGCCCTCCTTGGTCATGGAGCTCCTCTGCAGAGCTCCTCCGAGGCAGCAGCCGTGTGTGTCTTGACCTATTACATCATAGTCATTTCCCCGGTAATTAAATGTACATTCTTCACAATGAAAGGTTAGAAGACATCAAGAGCTTCCTGGCAGCATAATTGACAGGGATTTGTGGAGAAAATCCATGTATAAACATAACAGGCAGTCACTGTGTCCTGAGACAACGTGAGGATGACAGATTTGAAGAACAAATGTTAAAGGTAGCTATTTTCCAATAGTGTTTGAAAAGTACATATCTAATTAGAGAGGAATCTGTTTAAATTCACCAGTAAAATAAGCTGACGAAAGAAAGAAAAAAACTAGGTCAGTATGAGATCTGTGTAAGTTGGGTCTCTAATGGGACAATCATTAAAAATAATTTCAATTATTCACGTTCGAATGACTTTTATATAAAGCCTTTTAAATAACGTGAAATCTGCTGTGCAGAATCGGAATTAAAGAATGGTCGAGTTAATCTCTGACATATTATTTGAGCTTGTACATTGTGAAAAAGAGTGCAGTAGAATGTTAAATTTCACATAAAATACTCTAGTTTCCTCTGGTTTATTTCAGAGCTACGGTGTCATTTATGATTACATCTTATGAGAAGATAATTACAAGTGGAACTGCTTTTTTAGGCTTGCAAAAGGTAATCTAAACGCTAGCATTGATGCCTTTGGGGACATTAATAAGCTCAGTCCTCTCTAACTTGATGGGTTTGTAACTTTCAAGCACAGAGTAGACTTGAGTAGCGCTGCCTTATCACAGCCTTCTCTGTAGAGACTGCGCAGCCCACAGAATTCCCTCCCACCGAGGGAGGGGGAAGAGTTATGTCAGGCTCATTGCTGAATAAAATTCCCAGCTCTTTAAGGAGTGCTGGAAGCTCACATATTGACTCATTGAGAATTAAGCGCTCTGTGACAGTGGGACTGGAGATATGTGTGTCTTTTGTTGTGATGACCAATGATGTTCTCCCGGAGAAAAAGTATGAAGGGAGATGACGGAAATTTAGAAATATTCAAAGGAGTAAGGGTAAAATGAAAACATAAAACCTCCTAAAGTGAAGATCAAAGCTCAAAGTATATTAGATGAGTAAACATCATAATCAAAATTTTTAAAATTTGAGCTTCGGGGAAATTTAAATTTCTGGGTATATATCCAGAGGAAAGAAAATCACCATCTCAAGAAGACATCTGTACCCTACTTGCATTGCAGCATTATTCACAGCAGTCAAAAATATGAAACAACCTAAGTGTCCATGGATGGATGAATGGATCCAGGACATGTGGTGTATATACGTATATATATAATGGAATATTATTCTACCACAGAAAAGAAGGAAATCCTGCCATTTGTGACAACACGGATGGACCTTGGGGGCATTATGCTAAGTGAAATAAGTCAGACAGAGAAAGACAAATACCATATGATCTCACTTATATGTGGATCTAAAAAAAAAACCCCAAACTCATAGAAACAGATTGATGGTTGCCAGGGGAAGGGGCGAGGGTGGGGGAAATGGACGAAGGTGACTGAAGAGTACAAACTTCCAAGTATGAGATGAATAAGTTCTGGGGCTCTAATGCACAGCATGGTGACTATAGTTAGCAATACTGTATTGTATATTTCAAAGTTGCTAAGAGTGTAGATTTAAAAAATTCTCACCACAAATATGTATATACATAAATAAAACTATACGAGGTGAAGGATTATTAACTAAGCTTATTGTGGTAATCATTTTGCAGTATGTACATATATCAAATCATCATATTGTGCAATTTAAGCTTACTCAGCGTTATATGCCAATTACATCTCACTAATGCTGGAAACCCATTTGGATTTGGGTCACTCTGCATTTCTAAAGAAGGAGCATTGTGTGTGCTCACAGGGAAGGCAGTTTACCTGCAATCCCAGGTGAGATGAGAAGCCTTCTATTGGGTCTCTGAATTCTGCGAATTAGCACTGAAAACTGCGTACTCCCCAACATTCAGTGAAGTGCCTGTGCAAATACTTGTTGTGGGGGTCCTGTATATAAGTGAAGATGTGGTCTCCGCCACAGACCATGGTCCCCAGAAATGATGGGACACCAAGCTTCCTAATTACCAGGTTAATGTGTTGATCTCTTGATACATGAGAAAAATTTATAGCATTCTGAAGTGTAATGATGTATCTCTTAGGTATGATTATTAATAAATTTGTTTTCCAAATCTACTCTGATGGATACAAATAAACCAAATTGAGTTATTGAGGAGTTTTGGTCAATAATTTTCAAATGGGACAGACTATTTATTAGGAGGGACAAATGTGAGGAAATGAAAGTTGCCTTTTGAGTGTGAGTAATCCACGGGAAGGGTAGCTGAGCCCGGATGGCCAGCAAAGCCTTAAGTACAGAGGGTTTGAATCTGCGTTGCAGACACGTCCCTGGTCGTTGATTAACCATACCTTCAAGAGTTGTTCTCTTACCTTCTTTCTCATAACTGTTTTCCCCCTTTCTTGTGTCTTTTGTTTAATTTCCCCCCTTTATATATTTGCATATTTCCGTATCAAAATTTGTATATTATTTTGGAGCAATATTTGCTGTTGCTGCTGTTTATTCAAATCACTTAAATTCTTAAAATCTTCAGGCTGTTCTTTTCTCTATTCTATGTCATTTTAAACAATCTACCTTCTTAATTAAAGCATTTCCATGCTTGCCTCCAGTTTAATGGCGAGAATCCCTGAGTAATGAGGTTAAACTCTCAGCTAATCCTTTGTTTGTAAGAGAGTGAAACTGAGGAACCAGAAACTTCTGAGCTCAAGGAGAGACCCAGTCTTGCTCTGAGTCTCCGAAGGTTCTTGCGTTGGGAGTCTCGTCTGATTGGGTGTCTCCGAGTTCTTCCAGCGTGTTCTTGTGGTCACCCCCTTGTGTGCCAGCCACTGTTCTGGACCCTGAGGATTCGGAGGGGTGCTGGGACATGAGTACTCCCTGTCCTCGTGGATGTACAGTGGGGAGGAGACACAGGCGTTGATCAGATCATCACACAGACATATTTAAAATTGCAGCCACAACCAGTGTGGCCGTGGAGAAGCACAAGCTCCCTGAAGCCCTAGAATGCAAGGAACTGGCAAGTCTGGGGGCCAGGGGAGGCCTTTCTGACAGGTGGGCTGGAGCTGATATTTGAAGGAGCTGCGGGGTCAGAGGAAGGGAACAGCCATCAGACAGCAGGGCTCCGCGGCGAGAGGGGCGTGGTGGGCAAGACAAAGCATTTAGAGAATCAAGCAGGGACTGAGCAGTCAAGACCCTCCCGACCTTGATGAAGGACTTGTCTTTCCTTTCAGAATTTTCCCATCGCTATTTACTGAAGACACTGTCCTTTCTGCACTGTGTGTTCTCACACCCTTGTCAAAGACTAGGGGACTGGATGCGTGAGGGTTCGTCTCTGGGCTCTCTAGTCTAGTCTTTTGGTCTATGTGCCTGTCTTTATGTCAGTGTCAGACTGTTTGGATTCCTGTATCTTTGTAACATAGTTTGAAATCAGGAAGCGTGATGCCTCCAGCTCTCATCTTCTCTCTCCAGATTGCTTTGGCCATTTGGGGTCTTTTATGGTTCCGTACAAATTTTAGGATTATTTTTACTATTTCTGCAAAAACACCCCCTGAAATTTTGATAAGGATTGCATTGAGTCTGCGTATTGCTTTGGGTAATCTGAACATTTTAACAGTATTAATTCTTCCAATCCGTGAACACCAGATATCTGTCCATTTCCGTGTGTCTTCTTCAGTTTCTTTCAGCAATGTCTTAGGCTTTTCAGTGTACAAGTCTTTCACCTCCTTGCTTAAATTTATTCCTAAGTATTTTGTTGTTTTTGAGGATATTGTAAATGAGATTGTTTAATTAGTTTCTCTTTCAGATGGTTTTTTTCACTATATAAAAATGCTATTTATTTTTGTACACTGATTTTATATCCCGCAACTTTACTGAACGTGTTAGTTCTAACAGATTTTTGGTGGAGTCTTTAGGATTTTCTATACAGTTACGTGCCACCTGACAATGTTTCAGTCAGTGATGGACTGTATATAGGACTGCGGGCCCGTGGGATGAGGACCATACAGCCGAGGGGTGTAGTAGGCTCTACCTGTGGGTTTGTGTAAGTGCACTCTATGAAGTTCACACAATGACAAAATCACCTAACAACACATTTCTCAGAAAGTATCTCGTCGTTAAGCGACACAGGACTGTATATAAGATTATGTCACCTGCAAACAGAGACGACTTCTGATTTGAAAGCCTTTTATTTCTTTTTCTTGCCTAATTGCTCTCGCTAGGACTCCTAGTATGATGTTGAATAAAAGTTGTGAGAGTGTGCACCTTTGTCCCATTCCTGATCTTAGAGAAAAAGCTTTTACCTTTTTACTATTGGGAGTGATATTTGCTGTGGGCTTGTCATAAATGGCATTTATTGTGTTATGGCATATTTCTTCTATATGTAATTTGTTGAGTTTTTATCATGAAAGGATGTTGAATTTTGTCACATGCTTTTTCTGCCTCTATTGAGATGATCCTGTGATTTTCAGCCTTCATTTTGATAATGTGGGGTATCACACTGATTGATTTGCTCGTGTTGAAACATCTTTGCATCCCAGGGATAAATATCACAGGAGCAGAGTGTATGAGCCTTTTAAAGTGCTGTTGAATTTGGTTTGCTAGTGTTTTGTTGAGGACTTTTGCATCTGTTTTCATCAGGAATATTGGGCTAAAATTTTCTTTTCTCATAGTGTCATTGTCTGGCTTTGGTATCAGGGTGATGCTGGTCTTGGTAGGTTGTACGTGTCTAGGAATTTATCTGTTTCTTCTAGGTTGTTGAATTTGCTGTATAAATGATCATCGTCATCTCTTATGATCCTTTGCATTTCTGTGGTTTTAGTTCTAATGCCTCCTTTTTCATTACTGATTTTATTTGTTTGAGGCTTCTCTCCTTTTTTCTTAGTTAATCTAGCTAAAGTTTTGTCAGTTTTGTTTATCTTTAAAAAAAAAAAAAACCAGCTCCGTTTCACTGATGTTTTTCTATTGTCTGTCTGGTCTCTATTTCACCCATCCAGGAGAGGATGCCATGCTGCTCGGCATGACCACGCTGTGCAGGAATGGTCACTCCAGTCAGTCTTCTCCAAAGTCACCAGCCTAGTCGACTTGAGGATCTTGATCACTTGAATGTCATCTGAGTGTGGTGTCATCTGTGACTTCTGAGCGTTTCATGAGACACTGATGTGTGCCGTTCTCCCCACCGATGGTACTTCTGACATGCCAGGTGGTGGTCAAGCCTTCCACTGATGCCGTTAAGCCTCAATTGTTTTACATCCTGGATTTGTAAATGTTCATTGCCCCCATCTAGTATGTTCAAACCCTAATGCAATGTCCACGTGGAGACAGGTGTCCCCAGCACTGCCTCAAGTGTGGCCTCATATCACCAGGCTCAGCCTCGGCCAGAAGGGGAAGGGTCTGTGGGCTGAATCCTCCTGGAAAATACATGCTTGAGCCTATTACCAAATACAGAAAGGACTACTGGGACATTTGGTGGCTTGGCTGCAGAGAAGCCCAGCACCTGAGGGTGATCTGTTCTCACCAGTGGAACTGAAGCATTTCTGGGCCACCTAGAAGCTCAGGTGAAAATGTCTAGCCTGCATATACACTATGGTATACAGTATATACAAAAAGAAGGGAATAGCTTGAGTTCTTGGTACACTGAGGAGAAGTATTCTCCTAGACCCCGGAAAATCAGAGAGAAGACACACCTTTCTCAAATGTTGGTGTTCCTCTGGGCGATGTCCTCGCCTTCTGCTCATCCCCATCCACACACTGCCCTGGAAACCTCACCATCCCTGGAGACTTTATTAACATCTGCATGCTGAGAACTTTCGTACCTGTGTCTCTGGCCCAACCCACATGCCTCGCTCCTCCTTGAGCTCCACATACGGGTCTGTAAATTCCTGCTGGAAGTCCATCTTAACTGTCCTGCATTACTCCAAACTCAGGATGCTGTACCGAATCCACAATCTTCCCCCTAATCTCTCTTACTTTCCTGGTGTTCTCCATGTCATAAATGGTGATCCAGCTGCTCAAACTGGAACGCTGGAGTTGTGCTGACTTTTCCCTCCCTCTTACCTCCCAGAGAGTTCCAAGGGTCCTGCTTGCCCCAACTCCCACTACCTCCGCTCTCCTGCAGGCACCGTCTGCACTCACTTGAAGAAGTGCAATAACGCCTTCAATGGTTTCCTCGTCTCGCGGCTCTGCAGTTCTTAATTCTCAGCGGTCAGGTCTCCTGCCAAACCTTTAGAATCTGGGGCTCGGAGGAGACCAAGAAGCCGGCTCTCAAATTACAATGATCCGAAGGTCCTTCTGATGTTTCCAGCTGCTGGAGAAGCTCCCTGAGGGCAGGCACAAAGTCCCACCCCTCTTTTGTTTCTTCATCTTGCAATTCCCCATTGCACCTGATGGTGTGTGTTGCACATGGCAAGGGCTCATACAGAGGGGCTGTCTGCACAAGGAAGGGGCCGAGCCTGGAGCCCTGGCTTAGAAGCAGCAGAAAGACCTTGGAGACTGCCCAGACCTCTCCTGACTGTGATACACTGTCCACCTCTGAACTATCTGGTATTCACCTAAATATGGAGCCAGACACCTTGTTTATCTAAGAAAGCTTTGGCAAGAGGTGACATTTATGTTTACCTATAAAGGACATGCAGATTTAGCTAGAGAAAGGAACACATGAAAACAGTGGGTGCCCAGCCACTCTGAGGGAAAGGCCGAAGTCTAGAGTGACTCTTGGTTTCTGGTTTGACGTCTTAGTAGACGGCAATGCCTTCAACTGAACAGGGGAGTTCCAGAAGGGGGTATGCTTTGAGGGAAGACTGTGGTTTGATTTTGGGGCATGTGAGCTTAAAGTGCTAAGGAGCAAGGTCCAGTGAGAATGCCTAGAGCTTGGGGATAGGGGCAAGGCCACCAATATACAGCTGGAATTTATTGGGGGGCTGGAGGAGCAAGAGGAATGGAGGAGTCCCCCCGTGGGGTGCAAGGAGAGCATGTGTGTGCAGTGAAGGAATCACATGGATAATTGCTCAATCTTCACTTTGGCCTTTGTACGCATCTATCTTTAGGGGAATAATTTACTTTGCTATGGCAAGAAGTGTGGAATGCTTAATAAGTCAAGTGATGCAAGAAGATGATAAAAGCATCTGATAAGACTCTCTAGCTCACTAATTACTAATTGGGTTTCTACAAAGTCATGATTGTCATTCGTCTGCCCACACAAAGTCCAGATGCCCCACTGACTGACGAGTGGGAGGGTTAGGGGAAGCTGCTGTTTACCGTCCCTCTGCAGAGTAGTTCCATGAAACCTCGCTGTTTGTAAGCCCACAGAGAAGATTTAGGAGAGAACGGTTGCCCTTCCCTCCATACACGACTTAAAGCTTGCTCTGCTCCAGGCCAAGTCCAATTACACTTGAGAAGGAAAGTCTTGGGTTCGGCCCCTCACCTGCAGCATGTGCCCTCAGGGTGTCTGGGGTAGGGGGCTCAGCCCCCAGGTTTTAACAACCACCATGTTTTTATATGATTCGCTTTATCTGTTGAAAAACAACCATGAAAACTGACCCCTTTGCCCCAAATTGCCAACACAGGACTGAGGGTCAGCCACTGTTTTTCCTCATTTGCTCTTTGTTTTCCATTGAGTTTTCAATTGCTTTTGGCACTAGAATGCAGGTAGCATCCACCTGAGGCATGTGGCGTACTTCAGATGAATTTATCCGATGGAGGGGGATCGCGAGGCCCCTTGTCAGGACTTTGGTGGCTTGTAGCCAGAGGAAGGAAGTGGAACTTGTCTAAACGGAGTTATGATCAATGACTTCACGTATGTAAGTAGGTTGAATTTTTCCACTTTGGAGGATTTCTTTCTTTTTCTTTTTAAATTTCTCATCCTTAGATCAACAGAGCTAACATCATCCGTCAATTTTACCTTAGCAGAGGTAGAAAGGGCATGCTTGGGTTGACTGAGCCAATTTTTTCCCGCTTGGTAATCTTCGTAAGTCTCTAAACCATGTGCATACATAGTGTATACATCAGGAGCCGGCCAACGGCATCTTTCCAGCCCTGCGTCCCAACTACCTCACTTCCCCAAAGGCTCCCAGACACGGCAGTCCAGATAATGCACTTCTCTAGTCTGACCATGGGTGATTCTGTTGACAAAGCATTGCATATTGCACCCAAAATTGATAAAGAAGATTGAAAACATTAAGATTTTTCAATTTACTTTATAACTTATATTCTTAAGAATGTGTCAAGTCAGAGGAAAACAAGGTTTCCACTTTCTACCATGGTGAGAAGTATTTATTTGGAATTTCTAACATCACCATCCTGCCTGGGTTTTAGGTCAGTTTTCCCAAAAAGATACTCTGAGACAGGGTCTCACACACAGTGATTATTAAGGAATGATTTCCAGGTGCATGGGGGAGCAGAAAGGGAAAGGGAAGAAGCTGGGCAAGGACATGCTTCAGAGAAAGTCCCAGACTCAGCCTGACCCCACAGGGGCCCTGGCGTGTAAGTTGTGCTGCCAACTTACTCCCAACTCAGACACGGGGGCCCAGCTTCTCTCCTTGCCTCAGCTGGCCCCTGGTCGAGGGCTGCCCTGGAGGGAGGGGTGGACGTTCTGACGCCTTTCTGGCTCCCATCATTTGGGCAGGGGCTCCCATAGCCCAAGGAAGTTCTGCCAAAGAGAATTTCAGGTGCGGGCAGTTAAAGTGAGGACCGCTGAGGGCGAGATGCGCCTGGCCCCTGCCGACGTCTCAAGAAAGCTTTTGGGAGAAATGAGCGAGAGCGTGAACAGCATTTCAAGCAGAATCACGATCATGTTTAGGACAAGTTCAGCATGTGCTGTGCAGCTTTAAATTCTAAAAACGCATTTCGCTGGAGACTCAGGTGTCACCAAAGAGAAGCCATTAATTTACGTTCTTGATAAATCTTCGTTGATAAATGGACATTTCCCATGCTATAGAAAATGCTTTAGGGATTTTGCTAAGATGATAAATGTTTCTCTAAAACTTTTCAAAATGAGCTTGACTATATTGTACTCATAAATAAACATAATTTGTGTTTCTTTGATCCTAAAAATGCGTATGGAAAAACACACAACCGTGTTAAAAAGTTGGTCAATATACAGTGCTGATATTTTCGGTACACCTCGACTCAGTATAAATTGGAAACTTTATTGCAATATTTGCCTCAGAGTAAACTGTTTTGGCTCATACCATTTGCTTTTATGGTGCAGGGAAGATCACGACAACGGAGGAGCGGAGCCACTTACCTGTGAGCCACTTGTTCCCGAGTGGATGCCTTTGACAGAGAAGTACTGTGTGCGGTGAGCCGGGTTATGCCCAAGGAGGCAGCATCTGGGGCAGAAGACAGGGCAATACAGAAACTCCAGGAAAAGCAGCCTCGGCTGAGAGTTCCCCACAGACCCCCTCCTGACCCGTCTGTGACTGGCTGCTTTCAATACCTTCACTTTCTTTCAGTCTCTGAAGAAATGAACATTCATTCCACTGCTTCACAAAGAAAACACTTGCTTCAGAATCCCATGACTGCCTTTAGTCCTACAATTTTCTGTCTTTCAGCTTTTGTCTAAAAAATTACATATTGTGTTCATCTTTCAGAAACGATTTTCTTGTTCTCTGAAGTTATATTCATAAAAAAATAAAGATTAGGTGGGTCATATTTCTAAAGGAAAAGTTCAGTCTTCACATTTTAACACTTAAAAAAATGAGTAGGTAATTAGCTGCCTTAAATCCTTTTATGGGAAAAAGTGTGGCATAGGTAAACACCTGCACCAATGCCTAATGAACACTGGGAGCCATTCGTTTTGAAATGTTAGCTTTCCAGCGCCTGGCGGGGTGGCCCGCACAGGGCGGCCTGCCAGCTGCTGTGTCTCGGGCATGTGGCTGTGGCTTTGCCATCCTGGACTGCTGTGGCCTCACACGGGCTCATCTTGCTTCACAAGATGCCACTCCAACCCTGAGCACGAGCCACAGAACTAAGGATGCATTTTGGCAGTGGTTCTGTGGTTCAGCCTAATAGGGTGTATTTTCAATGCTGATTGCTTAGAAAAGCACGAGAAATATTATAAAACTCGGTTAAACCTGGTTAATGGCATTTAGGACAGAGCGATGGGTGATTCCCAAAATGCCCCTGGTTCTTACAGGGCTCTTTTCTCACTGTAGTAACGGAATAGTCTACTGGGCACAGGTAACACTCAAGCTCCCAGCCTGTCTCCTTTTCCAGGCTGACCCTGGGCCTAAACCCATACCCTGGGGTGAGACACCTGCTCCTGGGTTGTGATCTGGGATGCGCTAAGAGATGTCTCAGTGCATCAGTAATGAGCAGCACCCTCAGTGGTCAGAACACAGACTTCAGAGCCCGGCTTCCCATGTTCCACTGCTGAGAAGCTGCAGGACCTTGGACAAGGCACCAACCTCTTCCTGCCTCAGTTTCCCCCACTGTGGAAAGGAAGTAAGGATTGAACCTACCCCACAGGGTTATTCCCAGGGTCAGAGGCTCTAGATTTGTCTAGACCAGGACTTGGAACAGAAGGAGTCCCACACAGGTTTTCAGTCTACAGCCTCCTGGTGGCTGCATGGAGGACATGTGCACCCCCGGAAGGTGGAGTGATCCGGGGATAGAAACGTCATCCGTGCTCTCACAGGCTGCCCAGGGCTTGGCGAGAGGCCATGCGTGTCTCAGGTGCCCGGTTCTTTATTCAGAAAAATAGACATGATCCACGGACTCGAGCTTATTGCAGAGATCAGAGGTGAAGCAAGTAAAGAACTTCACCCCCACAGACCCCGCAACATCTTTGATTTCATTACCACTTGCTCTGGTAGGTAGAAGAAGAGAAAAACAATCGTCAGAGAAAGCCCTTATAGAAAAATGTTCTAGGAAGAATAAGTCTGACACGTTCCACGAAACAGTAGAAATGCAGGAAGATGACCCGGCATTGCGGAGCTGTAAAGGATGACGTTGACTCACCTGTTGGACAGTGTCTGCCTCCTACATGCCCTTCCTGTGGGTGTGCAGGGCGGGGGGGTGGGGAGCAAGTGAAACCCCGCAGCTCGTCAGCTTGGAGAGAGCAGCAAGGAGTTCATGATGTGGAGTTGTCAAAGTGGAGACACGTCAGAATAAGGATCCAACTTGTCCTTTGTTGTTATAGGAAAAGCCAAAGGCAGGATGT